AATGGTAATCACTATATTTTTTGATGGATTCCGGTAAAGCTTTTTTTTTGAACATTTTGACAGTTTAATGATCAATTTTGTTTCGCTAGGTTATTAACTATATGGTCCTCTAAAGTTTAGTATCCATAATATGCAGTATTATAACTTTTCACTGAAATACCTAATTTACAAGAGCTAAATATTTTTTTTTATAACTACCTTTTTATGTACTTAAAAGTTAAAAGTTAAATAGCTAAATCGGTAATCTAAAATGTTCAAGAAAAACAAACAAAATTGTTGGCAAACATAGTTCATTTTTAATTATGGTAATTTTTCCTGATATAAAATTGAGAGCATTTTTATTTTATAATTATTAATAATAATTTACCTACTATACCTACATACTTAAATATATTTTTTTTTTTTCAAACTATTGGATGCGTTAAAATATATATTTTGGGGATAAAGATGGACCCCCAAAATCAATGGGCCCCGGGACCTTGCCCCCCTTGGCCCCTTCTTTAATCCGGGCTTGTACCTATACTTATCTATGGTATTAAAAAAAAATGGTACTGGTCTAGTTGACGCCCGCCACTTGAATCTCTCGTGTTTTTGAAGTTCTAGTCATTCGATATAGAATATAGTAAAACTCGCTTAAGACGCTCCCGCATAAGATGCTTTCCCGCATAAGACGCTATTTTCCGTCGGTCCCTTTATCATCTATATCCCTATTTCATACCCGCATAAGACGCTTTCCCGCTTAAAACGCTCTAGAGAGCTGGTCCCTTAAAGAGCTTCTTAAGCGAGTTTTATTGTATATTATATACTGCAGATAAAAAGGTACGAAATCACACACGTTAGGTATTGATATGCAATTCCCTAATCAGATACTTCCTAGATTCTTATTTGTCAGAGTTTATGTGGCGAAGTAAATTAAACCGCGGCCACGATCCATTTAATGAAATTTTGAAGGACTTAGCAGAATTTTGGCCACCTGCATAATTTTTTATTATTTTCTGCATTATTGTTTTTATAAATAATATGTGAATGATATATATTTTTTTACTATTTATTTATTCATATACATATATTATGTACCTATAAATATCGAAAGAATGTATGATAAATGGTTTAAATCATTTTCTTACTTTTTTTATGAAATATTATATTATAATATTATGTAATTATATTTTAAATTATTGATTATTGACTATAGAAAATCGAAAACACGAGAGATTTAAGTTGCGGGCGTTAACTAAACCTGTGTGGCGGGGGGAATATTTTCTCGGAAGGGGTCAACTAGACCAGTACCAAAAAATGTCTACTCATGAAATGTCAAATTAAATTTTTATGAGCTTTTGAAGTTCAAATTTTTACAAGATAAGATAGTTACTCGATTTCTTATGGAGTGGTTTTCTTATTTTGTTATAACCTAAAAATATTAATCGTGGGTACTGGGTAGGTACTGGAATCTTTTAGAGTAGGTATCTATATTATTATATTTGTTGCCACACCTGCACCGGAACTTTAGTTTTCGATGACGGTTGAAGCGATGGAAAGCAACTTTTTTCCATCTAGCCGGTGGTAAAGTGGAAATCCCTAAAAGTGCCGGTTGGTAAATTAGTAAAGTGAAAATCCCCAAAAGGACTGGACAGCGCGTATCACGCGTATCCACAGCAAAACCCGACACTGAAATCTATACAATGGTTAGGTTAAAACATAAACTTTACATTACATCTTATATTCATATTATAACCACCTTGTGACCTTGCATGTAATATGACGCATAAACATTAACATTTTTATTTCATGAAATTGTTTCCGTAGAATATAGTCTGGTTGTTGCATAGATCCCTGTATTACCTTTGCCGTGATCGATGAACGCAGAGGCGTTGTAAATAATACGTGTGGCTCGTGCGGGAAGGAAATTTCAGTTTTGGACGAAATGAGGCGCTTGCCTGCGATTTGTGTCGCACACGTCGCCCGCGACTGAAATAGCTCACTTCCCGCTCTTGCCACACAATATTCTATTATACTCACAATGACATTTTAAAATGCAACTTTTTCGACAAAGATGATGAATTTAAAACCTACTGGCTACTGTAATACTGTATTACTTATGGCTTATAGGAACATAAATTACTTTAATCACAATAATATCATACAATTTATCTATACTTAGTACGAATAGTACATACCTATAATATTACATATAGGCTGACCGCTGACAGACCGTCTTCGCGTTCGTTCCGAACTGTTTTTCGAATGCAATGATTTTATATCATTGAATTCAAATTTAACACATTGTACCGTGACTCTCTATAGTCTCTACTATCTAGACACCTAATGTACAGCAGAGCGTTATCCACACGGACACGGCCACACCATACTTTCCCGCTTTTTAAGTATGCAAATAATAGTGTTTTTCAATGTTATCAAGGGATTTATTCGAGAATTTTTCTTTTTAGGTACTCATCGAATCGTGATTTGTGCAATATGTATCTTAATATATCGTGCAGCAATTTGTTTTTAAACACGATTCTATAATCTTTCTAGGAAATAACCAGATAACCTTTAGGACTATTTATAAAATGTAATATAAATATATAATTGTGTATAATATATTGTACCTTTGCATTTATTACTTATTAGTTATTATAGTTGTACCATGAATAACATAACATTATGCCAATAGAGAATAGAACAACTTTAATAGTCATTCTTGTATATGAGAGGCATTATATAGGTATCTTTACAGACAAGCACAAATACACAATGTCATGACATTCAAGAGTAGCACTGTTGATAGGTAGTATTAGGCAATAGGCTATAATATTATTTTTCAATAAAATTCACTATAATAATATTAAATATACTAGTATACATGACAAAATAAACAGGTATCAGGTATGTCAGCAACTTTGTGATACGCATAAAATGGCTGCCATCTTGCTCCATATCAGTAAGTTCATTATCATTCACAATTCACGACTGTATACTTGAGAAGTCATGTGATCAATTCTCCACCAATGAAAAGTGGAGCATAACGTACGCCATATTTGAGTAGAAAATCCTCTGAATGAAAATATTGCTGTCATACCTGATAATGATACTATTATCACTACCTACATTTTTTTAAAATAATATTATGTACAATATACGGTAATAATACCTATTATGTTATTTTCTTGATAAAAATATAATATTTATTATTTTTTTATGTTTATTTTTGTTTTGTTATTATTATCATTATTATTGTTATCAATAATATTTGTGATAGAGCGTCCCATCCAGTGCCGCATTTAGACATTTTGCGCCCCGGCGTAAAAAAAAATTGGCGCCCCCTAAGGGGCCTACCCACGGAAAATATGAAAGATAGACCCTTAATCCTTATTAACCTTTTAGATTTTGAGAATAGAGAAGAATATTTGTTTTACAATGTGTGCTTTTTTTTAAAATATTGTTTAGTAATTGCTTGATATATACTCTTTCCGCAAAGATACATTTGAATATATGTCACTTAAACCTTGCTTATAATTCATCATATAAGTTGTTTTTTAGGGTTCCGTACGGTAAGACGGAAGCTTTTTACTAAGGCTCCTCGGTCCGTCCGTCAGTCACTAGGCTGTATCTCATGAACCATAAAAGTTAGAAAGTTGAAATTTTCACAGATTATGTATTTCTGTAAACTATACTAAAAAAATACTAAAAAAATCCTAAAATATATAATATAAGCAGTGTTGCCAACATGGCAACATGTTTATAGATGATGGTACGGGACCCTTAGTGCGCGAGCCCGACTCGCACTTGGCCGGTTTTTTAACATATTTAAGTAGGTTGTAGCACAGAACAAATAACAATATAAGGTAGTAGGTTGTAGGTACTTCATGAATAAATTAAATTAAATTATATACGACTATGCAAATTAATATTAATTAAAAAAATTTCGAACAGCATAATACTATATTAAATTATATACGACTATGCAAATTAATATTAATTAAAAAAATTTCGAACAGCATAATACTATATATATAATATATAATACTATACTATACTAAATTATATTATATATATAATACTGTTATTAAAATAATTAAAACTATAAAATTTTAATAATTCACAAGTAAACTTTTATAGAGTAGGTAATAATATTATAATAATAATAATAAAATACAATAATATTCTAAATTTAGTTATTGTTGAATTTTCATTGTACAGTAATGTTCAAAGACAATTACATCCATTATAGTAGAGTTTAAATCAAGATATTTACAAGATTTTGAACCAATCCATTGTTTAGGAAAATGAGGTTTTGGAATTGTATTTGAGGCTCGAAATAAAATTGATGACTACCACTGCTTCCACTATGCTATTAAAATGATACTTTTACCATCACAGTAACATATTACTATTAATAAACTTCCGTGTAAACGTAAAGTAATTAATAATAATTATTAAATACTCAAATACTCAATACTGTATATTATAATAATATTATAGTGTTTGTACCTATACATAAACTATTTTTATAATTTTATTTATTAATTATATTAGAGGAAAATCTAGAAACCATGTACTTCGAGAAGTTGAATCATTAGCAAAATTAGATCCATCCATAGTATAATATAAACTAGAAGATCAAAATATTGTACTGTATTTAAATACTACGCAGTTTGTGTCGTTTGTGATGGCCACATGGGTAGAAGTCTTAAAACCGTACTGTAGTCTGTAGAGTATAAAACACTTCCCCTTCCACAGCTTTATTTGAGTATGAATGTTTTTCAAATTCATTTGCCTTTTGTTATGGTGATTTTAGAACATCTTTGATGTTTGGTTTTGCCGCTTTTTTCATTAATGATAACAGCCAACCGATAAGTTAAAAGCTTACAATTGTCAATTTTACATTATTACCTATATAAAAAATATTTTTATGAATAAAAAAGTTGTTCAGTCAGCGGTCAATTGATCTAGTAGTTAGCATAGTTACTAGTATTATTTTATTTTATTAAAAAAAAAAAATGTATTGTGATAAAGTTATTGAATTATTAAAGGAGTTGGAACGTTCTCGTGAAGACACTATACCACCATACAATGTACCTATACTTGTCCTACTTAATACTTACTGTTAATCATTACTTACTATTTACAATATTATGCTATATATTAAATTATATAGTATATTTTGTTTGATCTAAGTATACTAAACACATTTTATGAACAGGTAGACGTATCAGCATTACAATATTTATATAAATAATTTAAATTTTGATTTATAGAATGATGGAATCAATCAAGTGCTTTCTGAGATGAAAACTTTAGATGCAGAAATTATAGATTTCTTGTAAGTTAACACTTGATACTACTTTATTTTGTTTTAAATTTTAATTGACTGACAATTTAAATAATTCAGGCGCACACAAAAAGATAATTTGCCATTGGATGCTATTCGTTTACGCCGTGCAGCTATAGAAAGAAATAAAAGATGTTTGTTGACATACATGTAAAGATAAATTGTTAATAAATAATTAAGATTCTCAACAAAGAAGTTAAAAATAAATGTATGTTTCAGTTGGACTAGAATACAGCGATTAAAAGAAATGAGATGGGAGATTGGAGCTATTTTACCATCAGATGTAAGACAAAATCTTTCACAATCAGAGGTTTGTTCAAATTTAGTTATATAGGGTGCTTTTTAAAGTATGCTCACCAAATTTGTATGCTTAAATTATGTATTTAAACAAATTCTGATGTTTGGAATTTTTAAATACACTTGAAGACCATATTTTTGAACAAATTGTATTATTTAATTTATGGAACAAATTTAATACTTATTATCTAATGATGATCCTGTGACAATAAAAACTTCCGAATTTCTAATGGGAGCCCTCATTTTTAATTTTTAATTAATAAGCAGTTATTATTTTTGAGAGTTTTTATGTATCTAAATCAAAATTAAAACTTAGTTTTTGAGTTACATAATTTTGTGTACCAAGGATAATATGACTATGGTAATGGGTTAAGACGTTAAGTAGATAGGATTAGGCGATTTGAAAAAGTTACTACCTATTGATTTCTTAGTTTAAATAATTTGTAAAAAATAATGATCCAAGTATAATATTATATACTACCTACATCTAATATTACATATAGTTTTTATTTTTATAAAACCAGTTTTAAAAATTATTAGTTTTAACATTTTAATAACTCAGAAACTACACATTAGAATTTTAATTTAGATGCATATTTTCAAAAAAATCGTCTACTAAATAATTTGAAGTAAAAAAGTTGGTTCTCATTATAAAAATATAAGTTTGACAGGACACTCCTTAAGTAGTGCAACAAATATCAGAAATTTTAAAACATGGTCTTTAGGTTACTTAAAAATTCAAAAAATCAGAACTTGAATAAATATTTTATTAAAGGTACAAAAATGGGGGTGAGCATTCTTAAAAAAGCACCTTATGTATTATTATATTATGTTTTTTTATATTTTTTTCAGATAGAATGGTTTAATAACTATTGTAAAACTTTAGTCTCATATATGAAGACTATAGGACCAGATACTGGACTTAACTTAACTCAGGACACTAAACCTCCTAAATCACTTTATACTGAAGTAAATATATAAAAATAAAATTTTAAAGATTTTGTATCATACTTCTTTTTAAAGAACTAAAGAATATCTAAATGTATTTTTAGTACAACATTATGTTATTATTAAATCAAAATCACAATGTAGCTTATATATATTTTTACGTAAAATTATGTTACATAATCATTTTTATAAATTTTAATCTTGTAGAGAAAAATAATTTTATTTATGCATACATTTATTTATATTTTAGGTAAGAAGTTTAGTGGATGCTGGTAAATTAGAATTAGAAAGTGGAGAAGTTTTGATTTTACGAAAAAATAGTCAGTATATGTTATCAAGATCACAAGCTGAGCCACTTATTCGTCAGGGTGTATTGGAACAAGTCAGACATTAATTTAGTACACAACATATTGGAATTATATATATGTATATTGATTATCATGGTAGTAAATAAGAAATATTAATTAAATTCATCTTGTAAATGTTAACAATATTTCAGTAAAAATGTAAATTTAAAAAATAAACAATTTTACTTAAAATTAATTTTATATTTTTTATATAATTATTATATTCTACATTATACTTATTGGTTATTATTATTTTTGTACCTGTTCCAATGATTATAAATTATAAGTTATGTTTATATTAATTAACTGTTCACAATTACTCCATTGGTTTTTGGGCTTGTCCCTTATTTATATACAAAATAAAATTGAACAACCATTAACCAATATAATATATTAACATAGTATTTCAAATAATGAATTCACACATAATATAAATTATAATATAAAATACAATTTGTATGAAATAATAAAAAATAACCAACTAATACTTAGATGAAATTTCTAACCTTTGATCTAATAATCCAAAAGTATTAGTTGAATACTTAAAAGAATGCCTTGATTTGATTTTCTATTAATAAAATTGTTAAATTACAAAAATATTAATAATTTGTCAATACAGTATTTTAAATTTTTATTATAATTAATCTGAATTTATGACTGATTATTTTAATTTTAAAGGTTTAGTACCAAATAAAATAATAATTAATTAGGAAAACTATTCCATGATATCTACTGTGTTACATGTTACTTGGCCTCTAATCTGGATTTAGTTGGATTTAATCCAAAAGTACAGAATATACTGATATTGTGGAGGTACTGGATGTCTGGATATTTTATGCAACTAGAAAGAAGTAAATATCTTAATGTTAATAATTATTATTAAGTTTATATATTATATTCATTATTATAATTCAGCATTTTGGCCCAATGAATACAATTTTATTGACATTTATAGAATAAAAAACTAAAAAAAATTTTTTCGCGTTTTTTTTCCCAGACCCAAAAGCTAGAGTTCAACCAAAATTCCAAATGTGTAAATAACTCAAAAGAGTCAAAATGTTTTGAAAATTTTATCATGTATAGAAAATGATAATAAAATAAAATATTTATTGTTTTATAAGAATTCGGGTTAATACGGATACGGGCTTCTTCAATAAAGTCATTACAACAACATCATACATGTTTTAAATGTTTTTAATTGATACTAAAAATGTTTAGGTCTGTACTTGGATTTTTTTTTATATATGGATATTTATTTTTATTTTTTGATATTTGACAAACATTTGACATGACGTAAAAAGAAATTATTTTCTTTAATTTGAACGTAGATGGTAGATCACTCTTCCGAATTCATGGATCACTCAATCGTTGTAGATCACCTGCAGCTACACAACCTAACCTAACCTTCTACACGAATGCCGATATTTTATTTAAAAATATTTCATATTAAATAATAAATAATATATAATATTATTAAATTCAATAGTATAAGTCAATATAGTAAGCTTTAAAAAAAAAAATGGGGAGAAAATATCCGTATAAATAATATATCGGGGGGGGGGATGTCCTACTAGACCGAAAACAATAGGTAAATTGGGAAATGTCCATATACCATTATTTTCAAGTACCTATAGTATATTTTGTCATTTGATGATATCGATATTTAATATTAAACAGAGTGTAATGTCAGCTGGTATTGCTATAAGCAACTATTACTACTACTACTATAAATAATTTATAATTAAACCCAGTCCTGTAAAGAATACTTTTGAAAAGTACTTGAGTAAGTACTCAAATACATTTTTTTTAAGTATTTAAGATACTACTCAAATACTTTAATTGTATAGTATTTTAAATACTACTCAAATACTTTGAAAAAGTATTTGGAATACTTTTCAAATACTTTTGGTTTTTAAAGTGGGTTTCTAATTATTGTAATATAGACACATAGGTAGTAAATTTATAATCATTTTTATTTATTATTTATTAAATAAATGTTTATTACATTTTTTTTTTATTTTTACATGAAATTTACAATCTGTTCTTAACTAGAACAATAAGTAAATGTGCACAGTGGCGTAGCCAGAATTATGAAATGGGGGGTGTTTAAGTATAGATTAAAACCAAGTTTTTACAGTTTTTGTATATAAACAAATTTAGGGTTCGGGACTTGACTTGTTGCACTAAAAATTATCGAAATATGCTTAAATATATGCAGCTACATTTTAATATTATTTTTGAAAAATTCATAAAACCTAATACAATTTTTGTAATAAAAAACTAAAAAATAAGTAGGTATATAAACATGATAAAAATAATTTAATCACTGGTATACAAATTTTAATATAAGTTGGTACCTATAGGTACCTATATATTGATTAATATGATAGACGGAGGACACAGCTATTGCATGTTTTGGACATTTTTAAACTATTGTGAATTAAAATTTGATTTTTAAAAATACTGGAATAAAATACTAGGTTAATAAATAAGTACCTAATAGGTAACGAATAACGTGATATGTGAACCCCGTGATAAACGAACATGTATCTACTAATTTTCATTTCTTCGTACAATCTAGAATCTAGATGTCAATTATAGTTTTAACACAGTCTTGTCACAAAGAGACTTATAAAATCTAACGTACCATATGCGAAAATAGGGTCCATGATATCCTCCCAAACATTTACTTAAATTTTTTAAGCTTATTCAATTTTATAATAGTATGATTTTAGGCTTCAGCTTCCCCAAATCTCAAAATTAGCTCCTATTGTACCTAAACAAACATAATATTTTTAAAGATATTTTTCCAAATGTTATCATATGCATGTTATCCAAATATGATTTTTCTTGACAATTGTATGTAAGTACCTATATTTAAGTTAAAAAAAATTCAATATATGCACAAATATAATCGCTCAAATGTACACTTTTCCTACGATATGCAAAAATATGCAAATTCAAACATCGTTTGATAAGACAAAAAAATTTCATAACACAAATTTATAACTTCTCTAAAATAACCTACTATCACTACAATAAAACATGCAAGGAGTCCCGAACCCTATAAACAATACAAAATTTATTAGGGGGAAATGTCAATGGGGGGTGTTTAAACACCCAAAACCCCCCCCTGGCTACGCCACTGAATGTGCATAGGGTATTTGCGTATGATTTTTTTTGAGGGAAGAAACCACCCATTGGTGATACTACCTATTTTGTGTTCTTAATTTATTCTAAAATTTCTAAAATTATTTCGAATAAAAATAAAATGTTCGAAATAAAAAACCAAAGTATTCAATACCAAAAAGTATTTAATACAAAAAAAAGTATTTAAAATACCATTCAAAATACTTCATGCTGAAAGTATTTAAAAAGTTATTCAATACTTAAAAAAGTATTTGAATACTTTTACTCAAATACTTTACAGGACTGATTAAACCACAAATAAACATATTAAAAATTACAAAATTATATGGATAATAAATAATTTAAGAAATATACTTAGGTATGTTAGGAAATTCCAAAAAATATTATTCTTAAAAAAGTTATTTCGTTTCAAATTAATTATTACTTATTAGTTATTAGGTAGGTACGACAATACGGGAATAGCGATTTATTTTACTAGAGGTTGACAATACACAATTTCTTGAAATATAGCATATTGTAGGTATTAGTGGGATGAATAGATAACCACTATTGATATTATTGCCACATACCACATTGTATCTGAAAAATTTGACGAGTTTCCTGTATTGCCGTATAAAATATTATGTATATTGTATAATGTGCATAGTATTTGATATCATAAATTCACGACTTCATGAGGTAGAGAAGATATTCTGCATTTAAATCACAGATATATCATATTATCATAATATATAATACTATAATAATTAATATACCAACTATACTAATTATAATAATTACTAGTATACTAGTTTATACAATTATACCATAGAGTAATAATATATAGAGAAGCTATACCGTATATTACACTACATAGTACATTATAGAGCAATAATACAGGTTTATACGCAGACTAGGTAAATATAAATATTCATATTTCATACAGCATTACAGCCGTACAGGACAGTTATAAAAAAAAATAGTCTGTGGTATAAATGTTAATGTATAATACTATAATATATCTAAATGTGTGACATAAATTCAAAACCAAGTTTATACTTTATGATGCCACATTTTTTTTTGTCATGATGCCACGAACGAATCACAGACTTCTATACTACACATATATAGAAATCTGTGGAACGAATTAATGCTTTCGTGTTATCTTTGGTGATAACGTGATATCGTCTTTTTGTAAATATTGTAAATTGTCACATGACGAACACAGATTGATGAAGTCTATCATTGTCCATAAATCATTAAGTTCTAGAAGTGTCAAGAACGACTGGAGTCTGGAACAGTGGAACCCTGGAAGTCTGCAGCTGCTCACTGTTTAACTATTCAAAATATTTGATGATTTCACATTCATTCGGTTGTGGGGTTATTAAAAATGTAAAATGGTGTTAGAATCTTGTTCTGTCAAAAGATTACTACTGTTAATTATTTTCATCGGAGGGTAAATATACTTTGACCAGTTTATTATTTAATGAAAAAAACTAATTCAATTTTAGCACTACATAATATTATTTACTTTATTTAACAACCTTAGTCAGTGGCGTAGCCAGGAATTATGTATGGTGGGTTACGTATATAAATACAATATGTTTTTTATTTACACTTTTTACTTTTTTATTAATCTTGATAAAATTCTAAGGTCAACACGGTCAATGGGGGGAAGGGTTATAGCCCCTTAGCCACCCCCCTGGCTACGCCACTGACCGTAGTTTGCAGTTGTTATATGTACATTTTACGCTCTATATTTTATTTTTATTTTGATCAAATCCTCTTTTTGCCTTGTCCATAATCACTGATTTAATAATAAATTATTTAAGTTTGTAAAACAAAAATTTATTATTTTTAGGATTACTCTACTAATATTTATAAAAATTACATCTTCAAGTGCATTGTCTGGTCTCAATGCCACAATTGCAACAGAGACATCTGAAGGTGTAAAAGATCATAAAAACTCATCAAATAAGTGTTGGTTGCGAGAAGAAAATACAATTCTGAAAGAGTGTCATTTGTGTTCTGACAAACTTGAATGCATTAATGCGAGTTATGTTGAAACAATTAAATGCAAAATTTCTGGACTAGCATATAGAAAGTATGTTTATACTATTAATAAGAAATTTCAAATAAGGAATTAATGTTAACTTCAATAATCTAAATTTGCTCAATTTAAACAAAAAAAATGTATACATAATGAGTCAGCCTCAAACTCTCAACTATTACTCTACATGTTATCCTAAAATCTGCTAACGAATCAATTATTAAATTCTCTACTAATAATTATTAATTTATAATAATTCTTCTTACGGTAGATTAAAATATTATATCATAATTATATAAATTAATATTAATTGTTGTATCTTCTACCAAATATATATAACAACCTTTAGTTATAAATGTATTATATTTATTTATAAACTATAATGGTTTTTTTTAATTTATAGTTGCAGAAAACCAACTACAAGAACATCAGAAAGAGAATTTTGGTTATTCCAAGGCTCACAATTTGTTATTGCTGTAATCAGCTTATCTGTTATACAATACAAAAAAACACAGTTTCATAAAAAGTTAATGAAAAGAATACAAAAACAATTAGATTCCGTTGTATAGCAGTATACAGCTGTACACCACATATTGTACAAATTAAAAAAATTATCAGTTTTTTCAATGAATACAATGTCTTCCTTATTTGTTAATATTATTGATTTGGATAAAACCAATGGACATATTGTTTGTTCATTGCAAACAACGATTGTTTTATTTGTTTGTCAATACCTAAAAGCTCCAGTTATTCTTGTGGTATCCACAAATATTGAAGACAAGCATAATATATTCAAATTCTCCATCAATGATTTAAGTTATACAGTTATATTAGAAAATGATTTACCTAGACCAGCAGCAGACTGTTTATTGCCAGTATTTCAAAGTGACAATGGATATTATTGTACTGCTGGATTTTGTTCTTCGTTACGAATGGTATATATTCATCTGTTAGTAGATAGTTCAGTTAATGAATTTATTTTCATAGTGTAATGTATAAATATTTTTTTTTAGCTTATTAAGAGTATTCAAAAAAACTGGATTTGGCTGCTTGGTTTTAGACAAAGTTGTTTATCTGCTTGTGCCGAAGTTTCATCATGGACCAAATATTGTGAAGTCCAATTGCAGGCATCAATAAACACTTTTTTCGATTATCAAGTCTCTGATGAAAATGCCACCTATGAAATTCCAATACAACTTGCTCGATTTGAATGCCATCTATCACAGCCGTTGCAAATACACAATATTAATAAGCGTCTAAATGAAAAATCACTCCATCCTACTCAAAGATTTGCAGATGAGGACAATCCAACACTTTCAGATGTACTTATACTACCAAATATATATATTGCTTATGAATTGCTAGGTGAAAATACAATGAATACTTTTCTACCTTTAACTTTAAAATGGTACAAATCTGTTTTGGAACGCTTAGATATTGGTAGTTATCTGGAAAATATAATTTTTGATAGAGTTAAATTGCCAAAAAATCTAATTTTGCCCGAAGTTCCATTTCATTCATTATATAAATGTGATTTACGCCGGTATAATCCACGAGCGAAAACATATGTTAAGCAAAATGTACAAGAAATAATCCAGGCATTTAATACCTTAAATATCAATATAGATTTGAGCTCTAATAATTTGTGTCCTATTGACTGGGACGAATTACCGTATGAGGTTCGTCCATCTGGTGGAGATATTCCTGATAAAAGATTAATCAGAAAGACGCAACAATTGGAAAATCTTATTCAATCTACATTAAATGTATGTAAATGTATATTCCTTACCGTGAAAATACTAACTGTTTATTTATTACAGGTCGTTAAAGATGGTGACGTAGTAGTAGATTTTTGTTGTGGGAGTGGACATTTAGGAATTGTAATTGCTTATCTTGTACCAAATCTAACAGTAATATTGGTTGACAATAAAGAAGAGTCTTTACGAAGAGCTAGAGAGCGTGTTGAGAAGTTGGATTTAAAAAACATTATGATTGTGCATTCCAACTTGGACTATTTTAAAGCAACTTTCCAGGTAAATTTTTTTGTTTGTTTTATTACAAGTTTAATAATCCAAATTTAACATTTACTAGGTAGGTTTATGTTTGCATGGATGTGGTGTAGCTACAGATTTGGTATTAGAAAAGTGTCTAAGGCAAAATGCAGCATTTGTTGTGTGTCCCTGCTGTTATGGAGGTGTCCAAGTGAGTCTGGATAACTTTAAGAATGTACATGTTGATAAATAATGTAATCATTTTTCACAGGATAATCATATTTTGGAATATCCAAGAAGTCAAGCATTGAGACAAGCTAATTTCTCATTTGAAGATTACTTAGTACTGTGCCATTGTGCAGATCAAACCCATTTTGATCCAAATTGCACAACAACACAGCAAGGTTATACATGCATGGCGGCAGTAGATAAAGATCGTGCATCCAGAGCAATAGAAGTTGGTTATAATGTGACACTTTCAAAGTTGGAACCACCGACATGTACACCAAAAAACAATATGCTCATTGGTATTCCATCATAATAATAAATTCAGCATTACAATAACATTTTTATTAACATTTTTTAATATATCAAAACAATATTGTATAATTTGATAACTGATCTGGTACATTATATTATGTTAAACAATTTTACTTTTCAACATTTTTCCTTTTAAAATCAATTTTTAATAGTTCTTTAATGAACAATGGTAACAACATATTATTTTAATATTATGAATAAATAACATACATTTTAAGTCATTTTTTAATTATTTATAAATTTGATTAATTAAAAATGTTGCACAGATTAAAATTAATTAAAATTAATAAATAATTTAATAGAATAAATAACAACAACAAAATAAAAATAAAAAGTTGGTTGATTTGATCAGGGGGAAATAGAGATCAATGTTTGGTAAAATTCAAAGATATTTTAAAATAAATTATAGTTAACAATATTAATTACTGTGACACATTAAATTGGCGAATAATAAACTATTAGGTATACCTTAATTTTCAAATTTTACAATCTGGTAGAGTTGCGGGCAATACATGTCCGCACTTTGGTATATAGTTTTTAATTATTATTTTTTTTGGTAAATATTCTTCAGAATGATGTAGTCTATGCATCACATCAGAGTCAAAATCTTGCAAACGTTTATCCAATTCATATTGTACTTCTAAATATTTTTCAGAATTATTAAACTTGCTATCTCCTTTAAATGCACAAAATAATTACAGTTATTTTCAAATATTACAATTAACAGACTATGTTCAATGTTCATAGTAATTATTAATTATTAGATACATCAATAATTACAGTTTTAAATGACTTAACTAAAACTAAATATTCTACAATAACTTTATCATCTGTTGAATCATACATTTTCTCTAGAATTTAATTTTAAGAACAAGGGAGCTGTTACCTAATTTGTATGCTTGAGTTTTTGATGATGTTTAAAAGAAATTCCAAAAACATGATAAGCCAATTTTAGTAAATATTATATGTATTTGGTTACTGTACTAAGGCCACCGATAGAACGCTACTCCTTCGAGCATCCAAATGGTTGAGCTCTGCAGTTTTGTACCCAAATTTCTTCCACTCTACTACCTTGTCATTGCAGCAACGTGGGGGGGGGGGTGGCCAGCGTTCGGGCGGTTTATGTGGTGGGAATGCTCGAGAACGGACGAGTTTTGGTCGAGGCCCAGAAGTGTTCTCTCGGTGCCCTGTGTATAATAACCCTTAGCTCCCATTTCTGGGCTAACTACTGGCTTATTACAATTATTAAAATAGTTTACCTGGGAGTAATGTTAGGTATCCATCTTTAGTCGCAATAACCATTGGTAATATTTGTTCACATCCTTCAATACTTCTTGTGCAAGCAAAATTTGTTAATTTTGTAAATGATGTAAACTGTCTTAATCTTAATAGTTCATAATATTGAGGAGTAACAAGTTTTTCATCGCCGTTAACAAATCGTGATAACATTTCATCTGGTGTATTCCACTAAATATAAAAATAAATATTTGTGAGACTACCAGACATTTAAAATGTTTATAAAATATAAACACTAAATTCAATAAATGCTCACTGTCATTTGAGATGTTTCAACACCATCAGGACTTGCATTAACTGAAGATTCAATAAAAGCAAGAAAAAATTTTGTATCAAATTTTGTCTTTAACAGTGGAGGCGTTAACCAGTTACTCCACAAATGCAAGGCACCAACATCTGGATAACAATTATTTTCACTACATAAATTGATAAAGTTTGATGCATTTTTTTGAACTAATTTTCTCCATCTGTCAATGCTATCAATTTCTAAATGATTGACAGTTGCACAATTTTCAGGTTGGTCGCAGTTCACTTTTTTACACAACAGTATACCACTTTCTTCAAATGTTTCTCTGATAGCAGTTACTCTTAGTGATAGGCATTTTGGAATAGAACCTTGCTCATTATCAGATACAAATTTAATAGCTGATCTACCTAAGACAAATAATAATAGACAATGATTTTTAGAATTTAATAAACTGCTAACGTAAGTACTAAGTAGATGATAAATAAGACATACCGTTGTAGCCAATTATATTCAAATTTAAATTAGAATTTATGCAATTTGGAATAATGTCTGTCCATTCAGGAGATGAATCGGATTTCTCTGTAGTTCCTCCTGGAAAGACCGTATAATTAGGTAAGTAAGAATTGATTTCACTTCTTTTAATGCATAGTATTTTGAACGGATCTCGACTGACAATCTTCACATTGGAAGACTTTGTTAGTAGTATCACACTAGAAGCTTCTCGCCAAAAACTCATATTTAAATTGAATAGCTGTGAACAATTAAAGTTAAAGCATAATGGTGACAAAACATTTAAATTGCAAGATTAAATAGCCGTCCACTTCAAACTCGAGTGAACTTGAACATGTAAAATATCAATATAATTATAATAATTTTTAATCGATTTTTGATGTGAACATTGTTTTTATAATTTATAATCAACTTCTTTAATTAAAAATTTAAAACGAATTACAGTATTACGAGGTGGTTGGATTTAACTCTTGGATGCAACTTACTATAGTAAATACTAAATTATAATGATAAGGTATGTCTGTGAAGATAGCTCCTTCCTAGTTAGCTCCTATACCACTGATAATAAAATGGTTGATACCAGCTATATTAAGTTGCATTTACTAAATTTATTAGGGGCAACTAAAATTTAATTTAATTTTAATTATAAGCAAGACAAGAAAAAGACAGTTATCAATTTATTACAATCTGTATATTATATTATAGTGTTTTATGTCCATATATTCATTTATTTATGAATGGGCTAGGAGCCCAAAAGTACAATACAATTTATAGTAATATATAAATATGAACAATATAACATAATCGTTAAAGTGAAGTCTAATAAACAAATAGCAAAATAACTATAAAATAGTAACAACAGATTGCAGTACTATTATTTATAAAAAACATTTTAAGAGAAACTAAGGTGCTTGTTACCAATGTACATCATACGGTGAATGGAATTATTTCTTTAATAGTAGGTGTTGTGGAATGGAACATAGGAAAACTAAACCTAGTTAAATGATAATGTAATTTAAAATGAGAAGGAAGAGAGGGAGCATCCACACGTCTCTCAATGAGCTTGTGCACAAATACCAAATTAGCTTAAACTCTTCTATCTGCTAGAGACAAGAATTTGAGTTTATTCATCAATGGCCTATAACCATGGGATGTGCCCAGTCGGCCAGACAAGTAAATACTTGGCTGATTCCAACCCATCCATATTTTTCTATTGATATTTTAATAATATCTATATAACTATGGCTATAGGTCAGATTAAAATAAATATCAAAACAACATTGAAATACACAAAAGGCATGTTCATCTGGTATCTGCAGGATTTTAATTTTTGTTTTTTAAGGATTTAAATATTATATTTAAATAGTCTTTAATTTAATGTAGGTAGGTACAAATATTTGTTGTGATATTGAATCTACTATTTTTCTTGTTTCATGAAAAAAATCAAATATGTTAAGATATAAGAAAAATAGTATAGGTAGATATTTTAGAGTTGTGATTTTGGTCTAACAATAGTCACTTATATCTAAATTATTCTATTGGTAGTCAGTGCATACAGTATTTACACAGTTCCTAGAAAAATTAGATACTTTGTAATTTGTTTAGTTACTTAACTTAAGATGTATGCAGAATTTGCAAAATAAATGACGCTGAAGAACGAAAATAGCAATATTATAAATTAATTAGATTGTGTAGTCAATATCACTGCATGATGTTTTTGATTATTTGAAAATATTATTTGTAGTTACATATTTTAACTTATGCATAGGTACCATGTAAATAATAGTTACTTAAAATTTAGAAAATCAATCTTTCATTTCCTCAACAAACCACCGTATCCAGAGATAAGCCATTTGTTATACGTCCTCCTTATTTAAATCATTAGTTTGGAAGGCCTAATTTTTTTTATAATTGTATGATTATAATTAATCTGTAATCATTTTTTTTAAATAACACAAAATAACAATAAAATATATAATAAATTAAATACAATTGTATGTATGTGTATTTGCAGACAAATTACCTGAAGATGGAATTATCACAACAAAAGGCTCTCAATTATTCAAATAATAAGTACATAATGTTGTTAAAATAACTATTTGTTTAATTTTATGTTGTTTTACAATTTTATTGATGTATTATATTTTATTGTAAAAATTACATACCTACATAAAAAAAATAATTTTAAAATCATCTTTATACCACATATGTAACTTACAAATACATTTATAATAAAAATATAATTGTAAATAAATTAAAATGTACAAATATTTACATTAATTTTGTTTACTTAAAAATCAAAGCATGCTATGATATAATTCATTTTTATTTATTAATGCTTCATAAGTAACATTGTAATTCAATGTTCAATGGGTTTATAACTATGTTTAAAATATTTATCATTTAACATTTAATCAACACAATGTTAAATAAATATAAGTGCTCCTTTCATAACTTATTTAACTTATTTTTGTGGTATCTACATAAACCTACTAACATATTCACCCCCCCCCCCAGCCATAACTTACATACACTACTGTTTAAAATTGTTTAGGTACCTACATCATTATTTGCACATATTTTTGATATATTTAAAATTATACCTTAACACTACCTATATGATATATTGTGATGCACAATTTCAATTACTTATTTGTGCCAACAATATATTATTAATGCAAATTTCCAAATCCACCCATGAGGTATTGCATTTAGATTCGTTTCTTTTAAGATTTTTAAAGCGGTAAAAAGATCCCCTGTAGGCCTAAAAACCCGCATTTCTTTTTTTTTACAGCTAAACTATATTACACACACATAATAATATGCATAGTAAGCATTTTATATACAAACATAACTGTTTACAATTTTATTTTTAATTACTACAACTATAGTCTAATAGTTTTCCATTACAAACTCATTTTATGAATAAACCATAATACCAAATTATTATTAGCTATTATACTGCTCATAGAGTTCATCATAGACATATTCTTCTGAAAATAAAATTGAATATGAATGCCTTACATTTCCTCAAAATTAAATGAGTGGAATTATTGTAAGCGCTTGAATGAACTCTTTTATATAAGTGGCTCAAAGTTGGACAAATCAATTTTTAATTAGTCTTACCAACAAAAATTATACAAAAATAGTTTGAACTTTAAATATAAGTTAATTAAAAAATAATTACTGTGATAATGTAAAATTATTATAAGTAATATAGATCATTTTACTATTATTTTTTTTAATTTAAAGTTTTATCCAACTTAAGCCATTTTCTATTTAAAATAAAAAATAGTTTTAACAATTGATGACGCTGTTATTTCCTCAAAACGTATGAGTGGAATTTAAAATCATAGGTCGTCACTATAACATAATTTTTTTAATAAATCTTGATGCTCATATTTCCTCAATACTAATTGAGTGGAATTTAAATATCAAAGAGTCATCACTTTAAATTTTATAGTTAATAAATAAAATACAGTAAACAATTTATGAATGTTATAACATAGACATTAATTATGTTTGTGAAATTTATTTTTAGATAGTTGGACATTGATTTGAGCACAGTCCACAAACCCAATCTGGGTTTTCAAATTCTTCTTGCTCAATTGCAGGTAAACATGAGATATGCAGCCATCTAGTACAAGACCCACATTGAACCATTGTACTATCGATTTCACAATTATAATTTTGTTTAAAACTACCTTCGTCTTTTCCACAAATTAAACAAATGTTCTTCATACACTTTGAACTTGATAGTATCAAGTCCTGTAGGTAAGAACGATAATTGTTTGGATCGAAAACATTAATTATTCTTTTATTACTCATTAATTGATTTGCAAAGTACAACATAAATACACCGCAGTTAAATCCATCATCTTGATATGGTATTTGGACAAACATATCTTTCCATTCTTTGATATCACCAATGTTTTGCTTTGGTTTCCAAATTTTAGGCACACCACATAAAACATTAAGAACTCTATCCTTCCAGTAATTTCTCTTCTCGATATTGTTATGCACGCTTTCTATAGCATTTAAATAACTTACTGTTTTTTTTTATAAAATCTACATAGATCAAAGTCCAATGGTCTTTTTCTAGTAAAGGTATTAATAACCTTGATGAATCAATCCATTCAGGTCTATCAGCTGTAGACTTTTCAACACTTCTACCAAGATTGAACATATAGTATGATTGATCTGGACTCACACAGCCTAACTGCTGTCTCCTCTTAGTGATCCAAGACCTTGAATTTCTCTCCAAAAATATCTGAAACAAACACCATATTTCTTTATTATGTAACCAAAGCATACTAGTATCGCCTTTAGTGTTTAAATTTAAAAAATCCAAAGACGATATTTCTATCTCTTCGTTTTCAAAAGAAATTTGCGATACCACATATTTGTCAATTCCACAATAAGACTTCATGTAATACATTGGATCTTTCACCAATTTGTTTTTATGGTAAAAGTTATAATTTCCTGTTGGAGACTTATCAGTGGACGATTCCCATACAACTGCGTGCCCATAAGTGTCTGATGGAATTTGGGTAGTCGAAGCCACGGGTGAAGTATTAACAACAGTTTTATTTATATTCTCAATGACTCTTGGACTTGTACTATTTTCTCTTGTTAATACACAATTATGATCACTGATGTCACTGAGGTTATCAAATAATTGTTCACCAATATCCAAACTGTGCACAATTGGTTGATCTGTTTGACTGAAAACAGTGAGATGATCATTATTAAACTCATCTCGTTTTGAATGTAATACAGCACCCTGTTGGCACTGTATATTTAATGACAAACAATTTTGTTGGTTTTCACCATAACTTTTGCCTAAAATTTTATTATTGTTTCTCAAGAATGCTGGACGTTTTCCTTTCTTCCTCCAAGTTTCTGGAGTATTTAAATGCAGGTTGTCCTCGTCACAATCAGCTTTTTTTTTTATGGCACATATACGTCTAGGTATTTGTAATTCAACCTGTCTAAAGCATTGAGCTTCATATTGGGTTATATTTTCAATGAACCTACCACATTTCATTCTTCTTTTGCCTGCTAAAATATGATTTTTCACTAAATTAAACCAACTTTCTACTGATGCATTACTCTGGCGTTCTTCCAGATGAACAAGAGTAGTCATAACTTTTGTCCACAGAGGTATGTATGGCACATTTTCAATAAGGAAATGTAACAAGTACTCTTCTGAATACATACTATTAACATCTAGGTGATTATGATTCTGTGAGGAAATACTTACTATTTTTTTCACACTGTCAAATATCTGTTTAAAATCATGATAAAATGCAGATTTCTTTCGTTCGGCATAATACAAGGTATCAGCGATTTTACCACAAGAGTAATTTTGATCGTCATCAAACTTTTCAATTTCATACTCAAATAATCCATGGTTTGTTTTTAGGTATGATTTCATTTCCATACTTGCTGCTTTACACATTTCTGTTGACTTGTCTGACAAGATCATAGTCGATAGCAATTCAAACCAATGTTTGATTTCTTCATAACTGTTCATTTCAAACACTAATCCAACACATCTAGCTATGTAAAACACTGTTTTTTCATCATCTGGATAATACCGTTTTATATGGTTCAGAATATTTTTAACATAATGGTTTGTACAAGAAGTAATAACTACTGTGCTAGAAGACAATGTTTCTCTTCCAGTTAATATTCTATGACACATATCCAGATATTCAAATATTGTTTCCTTACTATTCCATGCTTTAGAAATACCATGCATAAAAGCCCAACTGAAATCAGTTACAACATTTTTGAAAGGCGGCCAGATACTTGGATCTTTTGCAATTACTAGATCTTTGAAACATTTCAACCATTTTGTTACAGTTTCTCTATCATGTGTTGCACTGACCATATCAGTTATTGGGCATACGGTTTCAATTTTACCTATACGCACTACACAAGCATAATAATAAATAGTTTGTTTTGTTGAGCTCTGAGGGGGCCTAACAACTGATCCTGTTGAATCCACATGAATAGTTGTTAACACACCTTGTTTAAATACATTTTGAACTATTGCCAACTGCTGTTGGCTTGCCCATGTTACATTGAATGGCTCTTCTATACTTTCGGGAACTTTCATATTCAACCAGGGATGTTCTTTGGCCATTAAGACTACATCAAAGTGATCATTTCGGTTGAAATCCCCTTTCAACTGTTGTTCACTATTCAGTTTCCTTAACATCGAAGGAGATTTAATTGTTTGCAAATTTCCACATTCCATTAATTTAATAGGTGAAACTGATAATACACATTCCTGTCTATACTTAAAAGCACTTTTCTCTTTAATTTTTTCAGCAATAATTTTTCGCTCAGCTCCCCTAATTTGAGAAGTGTATCGAGCATCTGGTTTATGATTAAAGTTTTTACTCGTACTGTAAACTTCAACAACTGCTTCTTCACCAGTAGGCAAAATGTGTAGTTTGAACTTCTTACAGTCACTATGTTTACAATACATCTTCAGCTTCATTGATTTTTCAGTCTTAATGTATTCTAGCTTTTTAATATACAATATACAAGTGTTATTCACTTCTTGAAGATGTTTCCTGATAACACCAGGATACCTGAAATATAACAATAAAACATTAGTATAGTTTTTGAGTAAACGCTAATAATTGTACATAACATTACACTAAAATAAAAATCATTTATTTTTTAGTTTACTATTGATAAATTGTATTTACATATCTACTTAAATTATGTACACTTTTCCAAAGGTGGGCATTAACTATGTAAAAAGTTAAAGTTAAGTTAAAACGTCAACTTGGGACACGTGTTTAACTTGGGGCAAAAATATTATCTTTTAGTTTTACCTTCATAACTCAATTTATTAATGTGATGCATATATTCTGTTGTTATCTTATCAATATTTAAAATCACTGTGGTAGTGATGCAGAATCAAATATGATACTTAAGTATTAATTTTTATTAATTCATCTTATGTTTAGTATCTATCATTTTTAAAAAGTCCGAAAACTTACACTAATACTCATTGAATGAGACGTTTTATATAAAAATTGATAATAAAAAATATGTTCAGACATGTGTTAAATTTACTAGTCCATATTATAAATTATTATAATTGTGCACACATTTCTGTACATTGCGATTTACTTATTTAGTCCAACTTGGGCCACTATTATTCATCCATGGTCAAAGTTATAATTATGATAAATTTAAACAAGTCGTTTCTATCTAAACAAGACTAAACTTTATACAATTTAGTCTAAATAGTACCTACAGTTACATTTTTAATTTTGTACAGATGGGTGAATGTCTGAGAAAAATTAGAGAAAATTTTAAGAACAAGAATGTAATTATTATGTTTATATGTTAATATATACTCACTAGGTACAAAGTATATTTGTTAAATTCAGAACATTGTCTAGAATTTTTTAAAAATTTAGAATAGTGCCCCAAGTTGGTTTAAGTAAATTATAAAATAAGAAAAACATGAATGCCCCATGTTGTCAATATTCAGTACAACATGGGGCAAGCCGAAAAAAAATAAAAAAAATAGAAGGAATAATTGTTATGCTTCAAATGCAACAAAAATGAATAAATCAAACCTTAACTAAAACAAAATGATATATTGAAAATACCTCTAGATTAATTAATCTTAAGTTATTTACAATAGAATTTAAAAACTGCCCCAAGTTAGTTAACTAGTTATTTAATTTTCTTATTAACTTATGAACTAGTTTAGTTTAATTGAAAGTTAATTAACTTAACTTTGCTCAGTTTATTTAAAAATAATCCATCAAGTTATATTATTTTTAATTTTTGTTGTTAAGGTGTTATACTTGAAATATTAATACTAAAATAAAAATAATCCAATACTATAATATTATACAAACATTTCTGTTATTTTTTTGATAAAAGTATCGTGTTAATGGATATATTTAATTAGATTAGTTAGGCATAATAGTATATGGATTTAAATTTCTATTTGATAAAACAAATTTATATTTATTAAATTATTAATAAGGGTGTGTTGGTATAATTTAATTTTTAATAAACATGTAAAGTAAAATATGTATTTACACTGTACATTACATCAAAAGTTCAATAAAATTGTTTATTATAATTTTGGAAATTAGAAATAAAGCTGTCACTCTTTATGCGATCAACATACTAGGTAATTAAAAAATGTAGATTAACTTTTTTTAAACTGAGTTAAGTTAATAATTTTTTCCATATTAACTTTTATCTTATTGAGTTAAATCAATAATTTATTAACTGTTAACTTTTAACTTATCGATATTGTGTCCTCTTAACTTAACTTGAGTTAATTATTTTCATTAACTTGCCCCCCTTTGCAATTTTCATGATTGTCTTCTCTAATATAATCTCTCTAATAATTATAAGTAATTCATGCAAACAAGAAATTTCAGTTTATACTGTCAAAATAATTTGGCGTTTGATAAATGGTTTATGATTATACCTATTTAATAATATTTTATAAAGGTATACTATGAATACTTAAGTGGACGTTACACCGACACATTTGTTGTCTCCATCTTACAAGTGCCTAACATCTGTTAGTTTAAAAATTAGAGTAAATTGATGTCTTGTAAAATTTAAAGGTAAGATTATTAGGTACCTAGGACATTTCATAGACATTTTGTTGTTTTTTAATTTTAAATCAAGTTATGAGTATTTTAAAATTGTATATTGTTTGTACATCTTCAAATAATTATACTCGCTTTAAAATTAAAATATAATAAAAACCCTATGAGACGCCTAGATGATAATATTACCTTTAAATTTTATAAGAGGTCAATTCAATCAATACTCTGTTCCACGAGAGACCATGCCGCGCACCGACCAAAACTGGTTCCCCTACGCCACACCCTGTCATAGGGTAACCACTTTCGACAGTAGGGAGACGCAGGGAGATGCGCAGAACCGGCATGATCTCTCGTGGAACAGAGTATAGTTTTTTAACAGAGCTAAACGTAATCTGTTGAGCGTACAATTTGCTATGTTAGGCACTTGTAAGATGGAGACAATAAATGTGTCGGTGTAACAACCTTTTCATTCTAGCACCGAAATTTATATTGATCATTAACATATATTATTTAGTATTATGTTATTGTTATTGTAGTACACAATTCGCTTATTTTTATTTATATTATTATTGTTGTTCTTTTAGTAGGTATTTAAGAATAATATTTTAGATTATTTTTAATTATTAATATTTTTTTTAAGATTTTTTATTATTTATGAAATTTATGTTGTTAGTTATTAGAATATTTATTACTAGTATATTAGAGGTCATAACTTTTATTAAATAAAACTATATATGCTAACAATATCTATATAAATTATTTTTGTGATGATTTAACTATTGTTAATAAAATGTTCAACTTTTTAAGACAAATTAATAGAGTAATAAATCAAACAAAATAAATACAGTATAAGTAGTTCTATATATATAAATATATTAAGCAAATTTAAATAAGTTTATTTATACCTTTTTATATTTAGTTTTCCGTCTTCAAATATATGATTCCATTCATCTTTTGGAATTATAAAGTCCCCTTCTTTGAAGTTACATTCATAATATTCTCCTTTAATGTTTAGAGGAGACACATTCTTAGAACCTCGTGGTAAAAGCTCCCCAGGGCTTTTATTAAAATGTCTATCATTTAAACGTTTTAACGGACTCTTTATCGGACTAATAAATTTGTCTCTCGTTTTACCAGTGTTTCTGAGTAAATCAATTGAACTATTACATTCAAACAATGAAGTTCCAGTTATATTATCATGGAATAATTTTCTTCTAGGAGTTCCTGCAACATTTCTTTGAGTAGGAGTCACAAACAAAAAATTTGACTCTTTAGGACTTTGTTCCAACAATACAGTATCATTAGAAGTGTCCAACATATTCTCTACACTGGACGAATAGATAGATGCAACTTCCATAATATCCTCATTTCTCTGTATCAACCTAAAATTGTATAAAGTTTCATCAACAACAGATAACTGTTCTGCATTGGAACCACACATTACCTTTTTCTTAGGAGTTTTTTCATCTGTAATTAAATTTTCCACCTGCGATATTTTTCCCTTAATATCGCTGTTGCAATTGTGTGTTAATAGTTGATCATTAACACATTCCACAATATCAATAACTTCATTTCGTTTTGTAGGAGTGATAAATTCATCAACAATCGACTCCTCGAGATTTGGTTTCAACAATAAAGATCCATGATCAGTCATCTCCTTTACTGTAATACTTGTCTCCATTAACCTAGAACTTGACAAAAAATCATCACCAACAGACACCTGCCCAATATTTTCATATAACATTACCTTTTCAACTGGTGTTTTTACCTTTTTACTGTCCTGTTTAAAAATACGACGTAAAGCTGAAGTTACTTTATAATGATTTTTTAATGCTTGTACTTTCCATTTATCGGCATTCCATACTAGTCCTAACCTCTTGCAAATTTCAATTACAATTTCAGAATCTATGCGCTTCACTTCAAATGGTAGCTCATTCAGTACTGCCCTCACTTTGTTAGTGAAATTTTTTTTTTCTGGTTCAAACTGATTGTATAATTTCAATATATCATTCCTCCTGTCTACTAGTATCTGAAATCAAATATAGTGTTTATTATTATATACTAAAACTGATGTACAAAATATGGTGGACATAGTGCCACCATCACAGTTCTACCAAGAAGTTAAGCTATTTAGGATTTGAGCATTTTATTATTTATGGAATTATCCCTAAACATTGTACATGTTAATTTGCATGTTGCAAAGTTGGAATTTGGGAGATTTAACTCAGTTTCAAATAAGCACAGAGTACAGACTTGTTTGGCTACATTTTTTTGACTCTTCAAACTGCCAATAAATAAGTGTAGCTACATAGGTACTAAAAAATGTATAAATAATACATTCTCAAACAGAACGTTTAATATATAAAATATTAAATAACGGATATATTGAATTGTGGAACGCGATGCCGTTGTCGTGATAATACTTCCAAATTCTAGCAGTTATAATACAAATTGATTTATCACTGTATACGGTATACCTAGGTAAACCTTAAAATGTTTAGACACAGCAGTGTCACATAATGTAAACATTACCATCATAAAGATAAAATATGAAATAACCAACATTTAATAAATCGATAACAGGATAACGCATAAATTGGTACTTATAGGTAACCTTAAAGGTTACTTATAAACATAGAAAAAATGATTCTGCGTAAATGCGGTTTGTTCATGTCGCGCTATCCTATTAAACAAAAGTTTTAAATTATATTACCTACTTTTTTCTTATATCAATAATAGTTTACATTATTAATAAAAAGTTATTTTTCAGTATTATTCATTTAAAATTATATTAAATATAATATTAAATTAAATATAATTTTAAATGATTTTAAAAATATCTTGAAGAAGAATTTTTTCATGAAAAAGAAAATCGAAATGATTTTGTTTCCGTTTAGTAATTTTGTGGTCTGATTTATTTTCCAAAATAAATTAAAACGGACTTTTTTCTGACTCTTTTTTGGCGATAGAAGTCGGTAATAACTAATAATTAATAACCTTAGATTATTTAATTATTATGAGTCACGACTAGTGATGTTCAGACTAGAATTCAGAAATTTTATATTTAAGAAATTTCTATAATTTAAAAATTAAAGTGTATTTTTTGAAAGAACTCTTTTTTTTTACTTAGGACGAGTAAAAATTAGAAATATTCATTGGATTTTGAATATATTTTATAGGCTATAGCATAAATGCATTATTAAAATTAAACCGCACAAATTGATTATATTAATTTAAATATAATTAATAAGTGTTAATCATAATATTTTTAATATTTGTGCGGTAGTAAAGGTGGCATTCGCAGTATTGCTATTTTATATTTTTATCGCAATACAATTAATGTAAATAAAAATTTCCTAGTCGTATCAGTAGTGACGACTATTACATTTTTCAATAATTATGCTAAATATTAAATTCGTATGTTTCCTTGTAACAAATAGCATTAGTATTAATTATAACCAATTCAAATACTTATAATTAATACTAAAAAAGTACCTAACCTAACCTATTTACATAATATTAATTATTATTATAACCTAATCCGACATTGGGATTTTGTCGAAAATCGGGTTTGCGTAAAAATTCACGTTTTTTCCTTAATTTTTCATTTGTTTTTCACTTCTCTTATGAAAACTACTGGGAAATTCTTACTTTTGACCCCCCAAAGTACCAACTAGATTCACTTTCCTATCAGAAAATGTACTATTGAAATTGAAGAAAATCGAAGCATTTTTACTGTCCCAAAAGGTGGCGACAGACACAAAAAAAAAAAACACACATCATTGTAAAATCAATACATTCATTGCTTCGCTCAGAATCTAAAATCAACGGAAATGTGAACTCGTCATGTATAACAAAATATAATATAGGAAATTTCATATAAGGATTACGGATAATCAAATACAAAAATAACAGTATACCTGTATACTTACTATAGACCTGCAAGGGCTGTAAATTTTCTGCCCTGTCCGGTCCATCAATTTTATCCTCAGGCCCAGCCCGACCCGGTCCAAAGAAATTTGTGAAAAAAAAAGCCCTGGCCCGGTCCGAAAATAATGCTAAGATCGTAAAAAGCCCGGTCCGGTCCATCAATTTTATCCTCAGGCCCGGCCCGGCCCGACATTTTTTTAAAGGCTGGTTTTTTTTGTAGGACTGGTTTAAAAATGTGGTTTTTTACAACAATCTTTACATGTCTTATGATAACTGGGGTTAATAATGTACCTACTACCTAATACCTATTACATTTACCTGTAGCTTGATAAAAACTAGCTAGGTACATATAACAAAAAATACTTTTAATTTACACTATAATAGGTAGAAGCTACTACTATGGGTACAAAAGCAATAGTCAAATGCAATGAATTGTCTATAAATATTCCAAATTACCGTTTATAGGTAGGTATCTTATCTTAGTAATAACGCCGCAAATAGCTAAATATTTTCGTGGTGTGTTGTTGTTTTATTTTGTATTGACATATTATTATGGTATAAAAATAGCTTTATTATAACCACCAATCAATATATTATTATATTCATTGTGATTGTATTGTTGTATCTCCTAGGTATCTACTATCTACTATCTAGTATCTATCTTTTCTGTACCAACGTCGGTTTTATCATTATTATTAATTATTATTTTAAATTGTGATTATTAATTGTCGAAGAAAAAAAGCCCGGTCCATCCCTTCATTTATTATTCGAAGTCCAGCCCGGCCTGGCCCGAAATATTGTACAAAAAAAAAGCCCAAAATAAAATTCCAAGACTTAAAAAGCCCTGTCCAATGTCACTACGGGCAGGGTTTTTTAAGGACCGGATTGGGCCGGCCCGGCCCTTGCAGGTCTTTAATACATACCGAAACTAAAATATAAAATTAGACAAGATACCACTAGGACTTTCTCGGCAACATATAGTTTATACTTTATATTAATACATTATACGTAATACCATGATATTAAAATAAAGCTTATTATATCATGCGTAATAAGTAATAACATTGAGTACAAAATATAGTACAATATAATATTATACAATACACATGTTAATACGTAACAACTTACGACATGACTTTATACACTATAATATAAACATATAATATTGTAATTTGTCCCAGCTATACCCAGCTCCCTGCTAACAAACACAAGTACCCAACATTGAAGCATGCTTCACTTAATATGCAATTGTGTTTTTATACATTTAAATTATAAATACAGAATAATAATAATATGTAGGTACAATACTAAGTTACTCATTAAGTGTTGTCGACTTACTCGTCTAATCCTTAATCGATTTTTCAAACATGTATTCTGGCTAAAACATGCTTTGCAAGATTCAAATATGATATCATCACCAGATTTTACATTTTTCCACTGACAAGGAGTACATCCATTTTCTTTCAAAACGGCAATCAGCTTTTGAAGGTTTATTTTTGACATTTTAATGCTTAAACAGTTAAACATAAAAAAACGTATAAAAAAATTAGTACCTATAATATAGAAAAAAGATAATACCTATAAAAAAATGAATTGGCTTTGTGGTAAAAAATCTAAAATTTAAATGTGTGAAAGTAAATTAGATATAAGAGACCTAAATATAAGAGACCTATTGCAGGAAAAAAAGTGTTTATATAAAATAAATAAGTATAATTAGGAGAATAATTGCAAAAACAAATAATTAATGTGTAGGTATATTATATTATGTTAAATAATTACCCGTAGTATATCACCAATCCGTCCAATTCCCGTGGTAATATTACCTGTAAAATATTTAAATATATTATAAAAAGTAAAAATGATTGCTAAGTTAAATACACGGCCACACGGGTGATTCGAAAAAGTGTAAAATACTAATATTACGCTAATATTATTAAATGTACGGCTGTAAGACACAACAGACGTGTTTATTCGTTGACCGCTAACGATCAACGCACCGAATTTTCAGTAAAGCATAATTCACAATAACCCACCGGTCCCCACCCCCCCGAAAACCATCATCTACATAAATAAAGAAATGTATAAATAGTTATGCTCATGGAAAATACTGATAATAGTTAAATTCAAAATAAACTATCGTATATAAAAAAGTAGTTTACTAATCTATGTACATTGCTATGTTATGGAATATGGACTAATATGTTATCGTAAAAAGGTATCCGTTGTGACTCGCGACCGTCGTCTTTTCTATGCCGGCTATTGTAATTATTTGATATACAGAAAATAAGCCGACGTCGTTACCAAGGAAATACCTGCACTCACCCATAGGCCATAATACACATACAAAAATGCACAATAATAATATTAATTATTATCTAATCTTATAGTGACAAATTTGATTTAGGTAGTATAATAGCATCATAGGCGTGCGCAGACTTTCATTGCAGATGCAGCAGTTGCGTATATACAAATTATTTTCACTATGGGCCAATTTGGGAAATTTATCACTATCCAAGCATAGCCCGACTAACATAGCCATAATACTATACATATTTCTGGGAGCTGGGTGGTTATAATTATGATTTATAACATATAGAATACAAATAAAAATTTCACAATTTAATTTTATAATTATGTAAAATTAATTTCTTAATTCTTTTTTTAAAAATATTGATAATTTCATTTATATACATATTTTAATGTTATCTAACTGTGAATTTAACATCAAAGTCATCAAAATAAGTCAAGTCCTGACAATCATTTCTTTGTGGATTCCTCAAAAACGATTTTAATCAACTGACTAAATAAATCATGGTGAAAAACAGTAAACAGTGTAGATATACATGTAATTGAACCTACAATTTCACTATGGGCTCTGGCCTAGGGGGCCTCCCCCCTATATACGCCACTGGATGCAGCATATAAAATTAAGCAGCACATTTTTTAACAATCGGCCAAATAATAAATGTCGAATAGTCAAAATGTCACTGATAACCGAATTGCGGATAATATAAATAATTTAATATATAATAAATGTTATTATATATTAAAAATAAAATTAATATTGTATACCTATTAGGTATGTTAAAAATTGTTATTATATAAAAACAGTCTTATACCCTAAAAATACAATAAAAAATGTATAAAAAAATATTAACAATAATTAATTAATATAAATAGTTGATAGGAATTATTTTATAAATATAATAGGTATAATATAATATAATATAACATTTTATAAATTATATGATATAAATAAAATTAATATTGTATATTATTTTAAAAGTTGTCATTTTATAAAAAATTGTCTTTTACCCAATAGATATTATACATATAAAAAAAATGCATACCTACCACGATACCGAACTTTATAATAATAATTGTATATAAACTAAAATGTAAATAATATAATATTTGACGATTTAAAAGAAGAATTAAAAAAATTTTACATAATGTATTATTACTACAAAAAATGGGGAGGCCTTCAAAACGAATCTCGGAAAAAAAATCCCCGACCCTAGGAAAAAAATCCCCAGACTACAATATTACTCACAACCTCTTGCAAATGGTTGAACAAATATTTTTTAAAAGTTAATTAGTATCTATAATTAATATTTAATTACAAATACATATATTATATTCTAGTTTAATATAATATATTATATTATATTGCTAAAAAAATTATATATTATATTGTTAAAAAAATTATATATTATAAATAATATTTTGTTTTAAATTACGATAATATATTATGTGTAATTCAAATTAAATAACTAACAACGTTACAAATAGGTGTAGAATATAAAAATATTTTGAATGATTGATACGTTTAATGATACAGTTAAACACATAGTATACAAAAATATTATAAAAAAGGTGGGCAAGTGGGTGTCGCTCTGCTGTACAGTAGGTTACAAGTGGGTCACTGTATAATGGATGATATTAAATTTGAATTCAACAATATTATTATAATGATACTTCATTGTATAAGAAAAACGATTCTGAGAGGAGACGGTATGTCAGTCTAGGTATAAAACATATTCTATACATATCTATGGTACTAAACCAAAATTTGACCTGTAATAAATTCCAAAATAATCATATCACAATATCCATTAGGTACTTATAACGCGTTATACATCAACGAAAACAGTGATAGTGTGATACTATCATAGATATATAATAGTACACTTTAGAAGTTTCAAGTACCTACAAATAATATTATTCAATCACAACCAAATAACTAAAATAGTTATTCTAGGTTTTTTTAATATGTAATTTCGTCCAAATTTGAATTTAAAATGTCTGTAAAAAATAACTGTGTTCATATATTTTTTAGATTTTTTGGTTACAGTATGAACTATTTATGAGAACCTTTGTTTTAAATTTGCAATCCTTAGCTATAAAAACTGAACATTTTATAATTTATTAATTACAATGATTGATAATTTTCGAGATTTTGATAAATTTTGTCAAAATTCGATCTTTAAATGCTTATAAAAAAAAACTGTGCCTATGTATTATTTTTATTATTTTTCAACTGATATTGTAACAATATATCAGGAGCCTTGTATTAAATTTTTACACTTTTTGGCCCAACAGATAAAACTTAATTGATATTTATAGAAAAAAAAAACTAAAGAAAATTGAAAGCGGTAAATGTCCGTAAGACCGTAAATAGCTCAAAAAGAGTCAAAATATTTTCAAAATTGTATGGTGTATAGGAAATGCTGATTTAAACATTCAGTGAAATTTCCATGTATCTACAGTTATTCGTTTTTGAATTACAACAAAATAACAAAACCGCTAGGTACATGAGAAATCGAGTGAATATCCAATGTTGTAAAAATTTGAATTTCAAACGCTCATCAAAATTTAATTTGACTTTCTTATAGAAATTTTTTTTTTTATAAATGTAAGAAATCTTATAAGGAATCTTGTATTACATTTTATAATCTTAGATTTAAAAAGAAAAATTTTTACGAATTCTTAACTCAAAATAATTTGCTAATTTTCGTGATTTTTCCATATTTTGTCAATTTTTGAACTTTAAATGTTTATAAAAAAAATTATGACTAAGGATTTTTAATATTTTTTGGAAAACCGATTTTGCGTAAAAATTCCCGTTTTTCCTTAATTTTTATGTTGTTTTTCCCGGCGCTTGTGAAAACTACTAGTAAATTTTTAATTTTGACTCCCCAAAGTACCAACTAGATTCACTTTCCTATCAGAAAAGCTACTGTTGAAGAAAATCCAAGCACTTTTACTGTCCTAAAACATGATGACAGAAACAAAAAAAAATTAAATTTAAAAATTAAATTTAAAATTTAAAAAAACACACATTATCATTGTAAAATCAATACATTCATCGTTTCACACAGAATCTAAAAAGATGCTCTGCTGTACAGTAGGCTACAAGTAGGTCACTGTATAATGGATGATATTAAATTTGAATTCAATGATATAATATCATTGTATAAGAAAAACGATTCTGAGCGGAGGCGGTATGTCAGTCTAGGTATAACTGTATAAGGCATATTATATACTTATCTATGGTATTAAAAAAAATTTACCTAAAATAGGTACCTATAATAAATTCCAAATTAATCATATAACAATATCCATTAGGTACTTATAATGCGTTATACATCAACAACGCTACTGTTGAAGAAAATCCAAGCACTTTTACTGTCCTAAAACGTGATGACAGACACAAAAAAAAATAAAAAAAAACACATCATTGTAAAATCAATACACTCATTGTTTCACTCAGTATCTAAAATATAGGTAATAAAAATAATATAAATAAATAACTATAAATAATTTTTGAAAAATTAAGAACAATATTTTATACTACTATATTAATACACATTTCATGTTGGTATAATTCTGTAAAAATTAAATCCCTGAAATAAAATATTACGTTTTCAAAACTTCAAATATTACTTATGATTGTTGTGTGAGGTGTAGTGTACACAAATATATAAAGTACACAAATATTTTGAGTGATCGATACGTCAAAGAATACAGTTCAAAACATAGTAGCCAGTTACGTGTGCACACCCGACCGAGCAACACGCTTATCGTTATCGCGCTCTCGCATTTATAGCTCTCGTAAGCGTACTGAAGTCCTACGTGTGTACAGGTAATATGAATAATTATTTAACCGTTGATCCCAATTCACATTTTAACACTATAAATTAATAAAACACCCAAAAAATGGGTGAACCAAATAACAAAACTAATAAGCTTAATGAAAAACTTATTGCCTCATCCAAAGTTTCAAATAACAAACAAAATGTCACAATAATAGCTAAATCCGGACCCTCCGGTGACATAGCAGATAACGCGACTAATGAGCATCTTTCATCTCAACACTCCGATAACGACTACAACAGCGACGCAATTAAATCCACCGATAAAATTATTTCTAATCACGATTACACCAACAAGACCAACCATATACAGAGCGTTCATAATATCAATTCCTCATCGCATCAAAA